GGGAAATGGCCATTTTTCGCTTGATGATGGGTTTCCATATGTTGCGTATTTCTACGCTGGCTTGGCTGAATACGTTGTTAGACAACATGTATGCGGCTTCCTTGAATTTTCTTCTAAACCAATGTTCCTCTCTAGACCGATCATCAGCTCCAGAGATTCGGCTACTCAAAACTTGTCTAGATTTTTACTTCCCTTAATACAACCATTACAAGGAAAAACATCGTCTTTTGTGAAGAATTCAAGGCATTTTGTCGAACTACTAGGGTCAATTGAGGTCACACAGGAAGATCAACTAATTAGTTTCGACGTGGAAAGCCTTTACACCAACGTTCCGGTCGAAGAAGCCCTCCAAATCATACAGAGGAAGCTATCCGAAGACGAGAACCTGAAAGAGAGAATGAATATACATATAGAAGTAATCATGGAATTACAAGGATGCTGTGTACGAAACTGTTATTTCCAACTGAAGGACGAATTGTTTACACAAGATGAGGGACTGCCAATGGGATCGCCACTTTCACCAGTCATAGCCAACATATATAGGGAGTGGTTTGAAACTCTGGCCATTGAAGAAGCCCACAAGAAACCTCGAGTCTGGTTGAGATATGTTGACGACACCTTCATAATATGGAACCATGGGAATACTGAACTAGACGCCTTCCTGAAACACATCAACAGCGTGGGACCTTCCATCAATTTCACAATGGAGAAGGAAATCCACAACGAATTGCCATTCTTAGACGTTTTGGTGAAAAGGACCGACACTAAGTGGGAAACATCTGTATACCGAAAACCCACTCATACGGGACAGTATCTGAACCACGAATCCAAACACCATCAATCGACTAAAAGAGAAATCATCAAGGCTCTATTAGACCGTGCTTTTGGGCTCTGTAATACGAAGGAAGATCTCGAGAAGGAACTAGACATCATCAAAAATGATCTTCAACGGAGTGGCTACTCCAAAGCGATGGTAGAAAAGACTTTGGCTAGAAGACAACAGGAGCCTCGCAAGGAAGAGAAGCCGTCACAACCAGTGCTTGCACTTCCCTACATCAGTGGATTATCGGAGAGGATAAGAAGAATTGGTTCCAAGTACAATATCAGAACCTGCTTCAGATCCGGTAACACTATCCGTAGCAGCCTCACGAAAACCAGGCCACCAAACGTGGACTGCGATTTCAAGAATTGCATTTACCGGATTCCCTGTGAGTGCGAAAAATCCTATATTGGTGAAACTAAGAGGCCATTGAATGTTCGCATTGCCGAGCACAAAAAACACACACAGCGAGGGAAAACCAGCAAATCAGGAATAGCAGACCATGTTTGGACTCATCAACACAACATGGAGTGGTCCCAGGCTGAGATCTTGCACAGAGAGGAACATTGGTTTAGGAGAAAATTCAGGAAGCCGCATACATGTTGTCCAACAACGTATCCAGCCAAGCCAGCGTAGAAATACGCAACATATGGAAACCCATCATCCCACAGAACCAGTGAAGCGGAAAATGGAAAGCGGGGATACTAGATAGATTGGTTTCGTATTTTTGCATTTATGACGATGTATCTCTGTAGTTGTTCGAAATATAATTTTTTGCCGCGAACTGGTTTATTTTGGGTAAAATACCCAAGATACATTTTTGGTTTAGAATGAAACAGGCTATCGGAAATAAATTTTTAAATGGTAAACAAATGATAAGACAAAGTTACATTGGAAATAAATTTTATGGGTTGCGTTTTCCACCCCTCACAACCATGGGGTAAACAAATAAATTTCTGACTGAGTGTCTTTTTGATAGTACAAAACGACAGGTTGATTTCAATATTGTAACTTTTTTAGTGCTTGTGAAAAAAAATGTCATACAAATTTTATGTACCCCCTTCAAAGGGCTGTATCTTAACAAAAGATTCTCCAATGAAATTTCTTTGTATGAAGAATCCTATCTTTTTTCGATGAGGAATCACCTCTTTGGATGTTTTACACTTATTCAGTTACACCCTATATAGATTCACAAATTATATTATGTAAGAACATATCCCACTGTTACTCCCTATTCTGTAATTGGGTTCATCCTGTGGAAGAAATGAATGAAACAACCAATTTTCAATTGAAAAATGTATTGAATATCTAATAGATCATGTGGCATTAATAAATTTCACCTAGGTTCAAAATATGGTAATTTGAATATACATTTAATCATTTTATTTGACAGTATCCTAAAAGGATACATCATTGATGTTTCCAAATTGAAATTAGAAATTGTGGAATCGAATCGAACAGAGATGTATACCCTTACCCTAAATAATATTCCTGAAATTGGTTCGAAATTTTTCTCCATCTCCAACAGAAACTTTCATCAATGAACTGTCCTAATTAACTTTGATTTTGACATTATTCATTAATTTTGTTGTTGGGATCCAAATTCCCTCAGTCCATGATTTCCTTCTTGGTTATCCACATTAATAAATATATTTTGAGAAACTAAAAAACACGCTTTTGAAGGACGTCGAACTAAAAAGTTGAAAATATTTTTTAAATAAGCGTGAAACAATTACGGACGATAAATACTAGTGTTATTGTGATATATCAAGAAAGTTACGTACAGCGCCATCTGCCCGCGAATAGATCAAGTAATAATGTAGATATATCAAGGAGGTTATGTACAGCGCCATCTGCCGGCGAGTAGATCAAGCAAGGAGAGTTACAAACAAACATGCATACATACATACAGGTGAAGCTAATAAAAGCGTGTTAAAAAAAGACTTTTCATTATTCAAACTCAATTTATGATAATATAACTTCAGTAGTATCATACTGATGCTTGGGACATCTAATCTCAACCCAACCCCGTGTCCCCATTCACACTTTCTGCCGCCATTGTCAAATAATTGTTGATGGAACATCTCCCGCGGGACATTTTGCTAGCGAATTACATTCTGGGACTACCCCCAATCCACTAAAGCCGAGACGTGAAAGTAATCCTCTCATAAGATTTCGTTTTCGTGAAAGATTCGGTATTCTCCCGGATCCTTTGGATGTAAATCTGCAGGGAATTAGAGGTGTTCAAACATGCTATTGGATTAGGAGCTTTCTGTTTGTGCGTGAATATTAGCAGTGCCAGACATCATAACAAAGCTGAAACTTTGTTGGGTCATGGTCGGTATAAATGGCGTTAGATTCATGGAAATGGTATAAAGCAGTGATCAAAGGTTGTTATCTTAATAGAGCCGTTTCGGTTTGAGTGTTTGTAGTCTGGGAATCAAGTGATGAAACTGAATAGTTCATTTGGGAATGATCTGTTAATTCTTGGATACCTATAAAGGGGTATCCAACAATTTTTGAACAGATGATGTTATTTCACTTTGTTCCATATGATTACCGTTGGATAAATATTTCAGTTGTGGTTTCTACAAAAACATAGTTTGAAAACAATTCATAATTGAATAAGATTATTGGAATTTCCATCAACTTGTTAGGTTTGGTTAGGTTAGGTCCAAAGTGAGTGGGTCTAATCGACCCTCCACCGCAACCCGCAAGGATTTATTGTGGCTCACACCTATTCACACTCGACCAAATAAACCCAGCTTCTTAACGAAGCCGATTAGTTCCCATATGAGGGTTTTTGCACGTCAGCTACACCTCTATAGACTCAGCGTCAGAAATAATTTTTAAGTATACCCTGTCTATAAAAGTCCCACGAGTAGTGGGACTTTTATAGACAGAAGGTCAGTCACGGCAGAGCTCCGCATTACCGTGACAAGGCGATGCTACGACGAGAGGGCGCCCGGTATCTCAAAAGTTCCGTAGAGACAGCTGAAAGGCTCAATGCCATTCATCCTCTCGGCACGGATACACACACCTTAGGATTAAGCCATCGTTTTGATGCCATTCAGTTAGGGAGTAACAGAACCACAAGTGAATTTGTCATTCCCGTATCCAGCAGGGCTACGTGGAAGCAGGCATCCGTTGGCCGGTTTGCTCAACCCCCACAATCCATGCCAATGCACTCGCCGAAAACAGCATGCACAGTGGTTCAGGCAGTGAAAGATAAACAAGGACAGCCAACCCGCCATCAATTTGTTAAGTTGGATAGATACATTGATGAACTTTATTAGAGCTCACAATTCGCACACTTGCGAAGGTCAGGTCAAAGAAAAATACAATTCCACAAACAACAACAAAATAGAATATGGAAAATTCCACAGTCATATCAATTATCATTTCTGGTGTGAATATAGGATACATAAAAAACTTTTGTCTAATTTTAACTAAGATTTTTGAACATCGATAATGAATATTTGACTTAGCAGTTAACTTGTGCTTGGAAAATGAGTGGAACACAGCCTCTTCACTTTCGAAAAAATACAAAAAAAGTTGCTTGGTTTCCGCTGTCACTTTGACTTTTTTCCAATTTTTTTAAATTTTTCGAATCTGTTGCTCTATCGATTCGAATTTAACATGTTTCAAATTTCACAATTTTGATGAAAACGAGACTTCAATTTCATATCTGGCCCAGAAAATACCTGCATTGGACTCTTACCAGAAAAAGAAATGAACGCAACCCCCGGAAATTCGACTATGTTGTTGCAAAGTTCATCTAGTTTTTCCATTTCATTGTTAAACTGATTTGAATTCTCAATGTGTGGGCGTTAATATGTCAGTAATCATTTTTCAAGCACAAGCTAACTGCGAAGTCAAATTCTCCTTATAATTCCATGTCGCAAACTTTATATCTGAAACTTCCATTTATAGTTTGTTTGAAGGTGATTGACAATGTTTCATGAGCAATTTCATCAGTTCGGACTTCCATTGTCTAATATTATATAAAATGATTTGAAATTCCTGGTTCTTTCAGGCATTTCAAATCATCTTATATAATATTTGATAATGGAAGTCCGAACTGATGAAATTTTCCATTTATAGTGTTCTTTCAATTCGTGAGAGAACTTGCTCAATAGTTCTATGACTTAAGAAATGATTAGACATATTTTTGTTTCAGATTCAGTTGTATGGTTTCAATAAAGAATTATATCACAATATGTCAGAGGCACAGCACAAATCGCAGGGAGTTGTTGCAATCTCGTTGATGGTCCAGGTGAGTGAACTTAACGTTATGAAAAGGGGTTGAGAAAATGAAACAATTGGATGTTGATTTGAATGTTGAAGAATGACGAATGTATGGAATGAAAAAAAAATTCGAAGAAAGAATACTGAAAATGCAATCTTATCAGTGAAACGTGAAACCCCTCAAACAGAACCATCAGTTTTCAATTATCTAGTTCCAAAAGAGAAGTTTCCAATTGAAAGTGTCCAATTTGGCCCACTCTGTACCAAGCATGGTATATATTGAATCCTTGCATTTTTTATCCAAATCAGCACCACTGATGAGTCCTATGGCGGGTCGAAACCGTGCTTTCTGGTGTTCAGTCATAAATGCGTTGTGTTTGGGCTCTTATTTTCAATCTCTCATTCATCGAGAATCGTGAAATGTCGCAGTGACCCTTGCCACAACTCCTATAATCCATATTCTGAAACTTTGTTATGAATTCACAACTATATCCCAGCGCCTGATTGAATTCCTCATTAAATTCTAAATATATCGCCTCGTCTGTTCGTGATTACGCCGGGCATTTTGAAAACATAGTATACATTTTAGTGGTTGTCAACGCCATTCCATTCCTGCGGAGCGACAGGAGTATTAACTAATAATTTCAGCAGAGTGGTGCGCCAAAGTGTTTATTTCAGAACAGTTACTTTTTATGAATCGCTGTGGGGACAGTTTAGCCTTCATTTGACCCTTCTCGTATTTTATGTAGTGACCACGATGTTCCGGCCGTCACACCGGGGGAAGAAGTGGGGACAGGGATATAATGAATTGTGATGATTCTAAAGGGAATTCAAATACCCTTTTCGGAAAATATTGTGCAGGGTATTTGAAAAAGAATGTGAACCTTCCTTATTGATTTCACAACACAACAAAGTTTTTGTTTCGGGGTTGAAATTAGATGATTTTAATGTATTTCCACGTGTTAAAACCGAAAGTGACCATAAAAATTATATATTAGCTCTTGTTTTCAAGATATAGTATCATTATATTATATATATGTATATTGAGTTTTCAACAAATGAAATATTTCATCACCAACAGTTGGTACACATGTTTGTTTACATAACACCCCTCTCATCAGCTGTTCTTAAGTAGTAAACATAACCTATGTGAGTTTGTCAATTGTACGCACGTGGTTGCTATTGAAATTATCGTGTGAAGTTGATTTTTAAATTAATTTAAGTGCTGATCTGAAATGCCTCGAA